CGCAAAGAGAGTGGCCTGAGTGTCAGTGCTGGGGATGGGGGTCATGGATGTTCTCTGCCTCTCTGCCCCTTCCTGTCCATGAATCTGACCAACTGCACCCACTCCTTGACCTGGGTGGCCAGATGGAAGTGGGGAGGAAAGAAAAGAGATGAGACTGGCCTTGGGGAGGGCTTTGAACCCTGAGGGGTGACTTAGGGGTACTTGCACTGGCTCAGAAAGTGGCACCCAGGGGGCAAGCTGGCACCGGGCCAGCAATAAGTGCGGTTGGACAGTGAGTTTAAGGAGCTTCCTGGAGGATTGGTCTGTTGGTTCCTCCTGGGCCTGAAGGCAGATGGACTTGGGAGAGGGAATGGGAAAAGCCATTCAGGAAGGAAACACACCAGTTGGAAGAGGTGGTGGCATGTGAGAGGAAGAGCACTTGGTCTAGGGCCTTGGCTCTGCTGCTTCCCTTTCTTCCTCTCCAGGCCTCAAGCACATAAGGGGAATGAAAAGCTGAGCAGGGAGGGGATGCCTGAGTGGCTCAGGGGCTGAGCACCTGCCTTTGGCACAGGGTGTGATCCTGGGTTCCTGGGTTCTAGTCCCACACTGGGCTCCTTGCATGGAGCCTGCTTCTCCGTCTGCCTGGGTCTCTGCCTCTCTCTCTCTGTGTGTGTGTGTGTCTCTCATGAATAAGTAAATAAAATCTTAAAAAAAAAAAAAGCTGAGCAGAAAAGGGAAGCAGCCTCTGGGGAAGGACCTCCCGAGGGGTTGTGGCCCCTCCAGGGAGGGCAGCAGCCCGCTGGGCCTGACTTTTAAAATTTTTTTATTTTTAAAGATTTTAGTTATTCATTCATGAGAGACACACACACAGAAGCAGAGACATAGGCAGAGGGAGAAGCAGACTCCCTGTGGGGAGCTTGATGTGGGACTCCATTCCAGGACTCCAGGGTCACAACCTGAGCCAAAGGCAGATGCTCAACCACTGAGCCACCAGGTGCCCTGAGCCTGGCTTTTGACCCTGGGACTTCGGATTTCTCTGATTTTCTCTGGAGAAGGAGCCAGGAAGTCCTTTTCATGGTGCGGACCCCTCTTCCCCCACAGGTACAATGCCCAGGAGTACTATGACCGAATTCCTGAGCTCCGGCAGATCATTGAGCAGCTGAGCAGTGGCTTCTTCTCCCCCAAACAGCCAGACTTGTTCAAGGACATTGTCAACATGCTCATGCATCATGACCGGTGAGCTGTCCGGCCAGGGAACTGTGCAGGTGGGACTGCTGGGCTGAACTGGGCTCAGGTGCTGCATGGGGAGACTGGGCAGGGGTCCTGGGCATTTGGGGCCAGGCTCCTTTGGAAGCATGGAAGCAGCTTCAGTCTCCTGGCTCCCAGAAGACCACCAGGACAGGACGGGCTCGGCCCTTGACCTTATGGAGCCTCCTCCCTCTCTATTCATCTCCAGGTTTAAAGTGTTTGCAGATTATGAAGAATACATTAAATGCCAGGAGAAAGTCAGTGCCTTGTACAAGGTGAGGCGTCCCGGGCCAGGGGTTGGCAAGGGTCTAGTGGTCCTGGCTGGGATGTGGTGGAAGGTGCAGATCCCACTGGCAGAATGAACCCAGAGCTCTCTTTTGGCCTGTTTAGAACCCAAGAGAGTGGACGAGGATGGTGATCCGGAACATAGCCACTTCAGGCAAGTTCTCCAGCGACAGAACCATTGCCCAGTATGCCGGGAGATCTGGGGCATAGAGCCTTCACGCAAGCGCCTGCCAGCCCCGGATGAGGCCATCTGAGCCTCCAGACCAGACCCCAAACTAACCTCTGAGTTTGTTTGCAATCCCTTGTGCCAGCCCAGCGCCTCATCCACAGCGGGGTACTGGAGTTCCATCTCTCAGCCTCTCCCTGGAACCCCCCACTTCCCCCCCAGCCTCAAGATCCCAGTGTCCAGCGTGACTAAGGACACTGCTCCCATCCTGCCCTCTGGCTCCCCGCTCCCTCCTATTTATGGGTCTGACCAGCTGCACCCACTCCCCAATAAATTGATTCTCCTTGGGAGCCTCCTTACTCTTCTGTTGGGAAATATTTTTAGGTCTGGGCAGGCACAACAGCAGCTGCGCAGTCACCGCGCCTTACCCACCCCCGCCCCCACCCCCACCCCCACCCCCACCCGCAGGTGCGTCCCCTCTGAAGGAGGGGGCAGCCCACAGGGGCGGGGCCCGAGATTCTCCAGCCTCCTTTCGGGCGTCACCCTCCACGCCTCTCTTCCCAGAGCTGTGTCCATACTAGGTCAGCGGCCTGCCAGGCTGGCCGAGGGCGGAGCGTCCTCCTGGGTGGGGCCCACCAGGGCTGGGAGCTGGAACTTGGGCAGAGGCCTCCTGGGCTACAGAGGATCCACGCGGTCCCGGGCTGGACTTGGGAGGGGGAGGAGCCTGTGGGTGGTTGGCGCCTTCTTGGCTCCGCCCTTAGCCCCGCCCCACTGCGGCGTTTAAGGGTCTCTAAGCAGGTGGCTACGCTAGGTCTAAAGTGGTGCGGGGGGGGGGGGTTAGGGCGGTGGACACTCACAGTCTAAGCTAGGCCTGAATTGCCCTCCCCCTCACTTTAGGGAAACTGAGGACCAGAAAGGGCCTGTTTCTATGCTTCATATCACGAAGATTGAGGTGTGGGGGAGGTCCTGCTTCCCTAGCCCTAAGGCAAGAAGGGACAAGCCTCGAAAGGCACGTTTGAGGCCCGTGGTTTCATAGTGAGTGTATTTGAACATAAACGGCCGGAAATGGTTACCGGCTCCCCTAGGCTTGGCTTGTGGGGACCCCAACTGCCTGTGGCTGCCCCTCCCAAGTTCCTCCCCGCAGGAGGTGGGGGGGCTCTCACGCGGGTCTCCAGTCTCCAAGCTGCGCCGAACGCACCCCAGCTTGCAGCTGCCCCTTCCCATTTGGTCCCGTGGCGAGCCAGGCTTCCGGGGCCCGACCCTCGTGTGTGAACCGGAGCCCCCCGCCCCCATCCCCAGACATAGAGGCCCCGTTTTCAGGTCGCCGCGTTTTCTTTCCTACCTCCCACAGGCCCCTGTCCTCGAAATGTTCCTAGCCCCTCCTCCAGGCTATCCCTAGGACCCGCTGCCCCTACGCCCCCCCGCCCCCCCCCCGCCTCATCTCTACCAGGTTATGCCCCTCGCAGCCCGCAGGAAGACGCTCGGGCCCGGGTCCGGCTAGCCCCGTGGGAACGGCTTGTCTCGAAAACAGGAACCAGGGCCGGGGGCTGGGCGGGGCGCCCCTTCCCCACCGCAGTCCGCTTCCTGCCCCTCCCGGCTTCCTCTCCCCAATACCAGGCAGGGCGGGGGGCAGAGGGGAGTCCGGGTGGAGGGGGAGAGGGCTCTCGGTTTAGTTGCCTCCCTCCAAGTCCCGCGAGGCCTGACCTCCGCTCGCCCACCCTCTGCGCGGCGGGTGGCGCAGCCCCAGCCCGCGGCCCCGGCCTCCCGCGCGGCGCGGCAGGGGACGGGTTAAACTGCTGCAGGGACCGCCGCGTGCGGGGCGACGGGGAGCCCCGGGTGGGGGAGGCGCAGCCGGCTGTGCGGAGCCCCGCGCAGGGGCGGGGAGGGGAGGGGAGGGGAGGGGAGGGGGCGGCCGCGGCGCGGGGGCGGGGCAGCGGGAAGCGGGGCGGCGGCGCGGAGAGCGGGAGGGAGCCGCAGCCGCAGCAAGGCCGGCGGGCGGGAGCGCACAGAGGTGGCGCGGCCCGGCCGGGTGCGGGATCCGTGCCGCGGGTCCCAAGAGTGAGTGAGCGAGAGCGGGCGGGGCGCCGGGCAGAAGAGGGCCCGGCCCCTACGGGCGCCCCCTACCCCCTGGGCAGCGCAGGCGGGCTGGGGGCGGCGGGAAGGTTGGTGGGTGCGGAGTCTGCGGCCGGGGTCCGGGGTGGGAGGGGAGAGCCGGAGCGCCCTGGACAACCCGCGGGAGGGGGCGGCAGCCGCGGGGCATCCCGCTCTCCCCAGCCACGTTTCAGCGGGACCTTCTTCCACGGACCCCCCCCATTTGACAGATGAGAAAATTGAGGCTCCGAGAGGCCAAGTGACTCTCAAGGTCACACAGCGAGGCAGCGGCAGAGCTAGACGGGTTGGCTCTGGGTGGTTCCTAGGAAAAGTCCTCCAGAGAACTCAGTAGGGGGGCCCACCTCCAGCCCAGGGGAGTTTGTGTAGGGGCGGGGTACCTTTTTGTGGGGCCAGGCTCTGCCAGCGTCGGAGGATGAGGGGTGTCAGGGCGTTGCGGCTGCAGAGCTTGTCCTGGACTGCGGATGAAGGGGGGGGGGTGCAGCGGAATGGGCGTGTGTGCGCACCCATGGGGGTGTGTGCATGTGTGGGAGTGTACATACGTGTAGGTGCACTGTCTTGTGTGCGCGCACGTGTGCGATTCCAGCGCCTCTGTGGGTGCGGAACTACAGTCTGGCTCGAGTGGGCTGCACGTCCGGGACCTGGTCCCATCAACGGGTTTGCATTTTGGGCTAGAAGGCTGGGTATGTGTGCCCCAGGGTTCCTTCCTGCAGGTGTGCGGGGTGTGAGTGCCATTGTATGTATCTGACGGAGGACCGGAGGCAAGTGCCTGAGGCTCGTGTGTGTGAATGTGTGGGGTGGTGTCTTACGCCCTAATGTGGGCCCCTGGCCTCGGGTATAGAATGAGTGTGTGTCCCTAGCGTGGGTGCGTAAGACCCTGCCAGTGACTAGAGTTGCCTGCATTCTCCACCCCTCATGGCGCTAGCGCCCCCTTCTGGGCACCCTACTCCGTGTGCTCCGAATGTGGCCGGCCCCTGTGCACTCACAGTTCGGCTGTGCAGTACGGAGCCTGGGTCAGGAACGCCGGCTGGGGAGGAAGATGGTCTGAAGGGCTGAGCCAGGACCCCCGGGGCCTTCACTGAGGAGGTGGCTCGGGAGCGCGCGGTTCCCAGGCTCAGGCATCCAGCTGACGCGTCTCGGCCGCAGCGGGCTCCCCCCACCCCGCCCCCCACCCCGCCCCAGGAATGTTCTGCACTTCAGCTCGCCTCCCCAAGGGCAGGCCCCTGGGGGCTGCCACAGCCCCGCCTCTCCTCCCCGGGAGCCCGGGAGGGGGCGATGCGGGCAGGACGCCTGGGTTCCTCCCTCCCTCCCATCCCAGGGAGAAATTCCTCCGAGGTCCCCTCAGGCTCTGGGTTCCCAAAATAACCCTGCGGGGGAAGGGAGGCTGTGGAGGGAGGGAAGCGGGAGGGGCGCGGAGCCGAGCCGCGGGGTGCTGCAGGTGCCTCGGGGGAGAGGACGCGAGGAGAACAGGGCCTACGCGGGGCTGGGGCACAAACCAGTCCCCGGAGTCCCGGCTCGCCCAGATCCCCGGGGAGCCCCTCCGCCTTCCCGCGCCTCCGAGGGTGAGCCGGAAGCCTCTCGGCGGGTCGGTTTCCTAACTGGTGGGTTGCACCATCCCGGGCCGGACCGTTTAACCCCGGGAGTGGCCGCGGCGGCCGACTCCGCCCCTGCCCAGCAGGGGGCGTGCCCGCCCCGCCCGGGGCCCGCCCGCCCGGGGCCTCGCCCCCCGCCCCCCGCCGGCACCTCCGCAGACTCCCTCTTGGCCTCTCCCGGGACAGGGGTCCGGTCCGAGCCCCGCGGGAGGCCCAGAGTGCAGCGTGACCTAGCCCACCCGCGCCGGCGGCCATGGCGGGCGCTCTAGATCTGGACAAGGGCTGCACGGTGGAGGAGCTGCTCCGCGGCTGCATCGAAGCCTTCGGTGAGTGTGGTACGGGAGGGCACCCTCAGCCTGAGCCCAGCCCCGAGCCTGGGGCGGGGCCCCTGCCTCCCACGACGGACCCTCGGCCTAGACCCACGCAGTTCCGCACCCTGCCACCTTTTTAACGAAAGCCTGCTCTTCATCACAGGGTGGAGGGAGATCCACGCGCTTCAGACAGATAGAATGTTTCCCTTCCCTAGTATGCTGGCGTTGAAGGGAGGGAGGGGTCCCCAGACTCTGGCACACGAGGAGCATTATCTGTCTTCCCGGAGGATCCGGAGGAACTCTCTATCTCTGGCCTGGGAGCTGTTTCCGGCTGATGGGGGGCGGCTTCTCTGGTGAAGGGGTGCCCCTTCCCCCAAGCACTCAGGAAATGACCTCTGGATTCCTGACCCCAGGGAACCCAGACTTCTTCCGCCCCAGCTGGTTCCCCTCGGGGACGATGGGCCGGATCGGATGCTCCCCCTCTCCGGTTCTTCTTCGGATCCTGCCTCATCCCTCTCCCTCCCTACCTTTTCTCTCTAATCTGCCTCTTGGTTTCAGAGTCCTGGGAAAGCAGGTGATGGGCGGGGGGGCCAGAGATCCAGCGGGCCCTGGGGTAGGCTTGAGGGACCCCAGCTACGGGCCGAAGGGCCAACGCGCTTCTCTCTGACCCCTCGGAGTTAGATGACTCCGGGAAGGTGCGGGACCCGCAGCTGGTGCGTATGTTTCTCATGATGCACCCTTGGTACATCCCTTCCTCTCAGCTGGCGGCAAAGCTGCTCCACATATATCCTTCCCGGGCCTCACCACGGTCCTGCAGTCCCAGTCCATGAGGGAGCGTGGCTGCCCAGCCCAGGCCAAGATTGGGCTTCGCTCCTAGAGCGTGGGCCGCTCCTCCGTCCTCGAGCTCGGGCAGCCTTTCTAGGCGGCCTAGGCTCCACCCCTTTCCTCCTCCCGACTCAGGCCTCGCCCCTTCCCGCCCCCTCCCCACCTGGGCTTTGCTCTTCTGCTCCCTACAGTATAAGACCTGTCCCTACTCCCAGCCCAGGTCCCTCCTCCCGCCTCTCTCTCAGAACCCAGGCCATGCTTTCACCCACCCCCAGAACCTAGCCCCCTCCTCAAGTTCACCCCACATCCCTGCCTTCAGCCCTTTTCCGACCGGCTGGTCCCAGATCCCACCCCCAGCATTTCTCCTAGGTCGGGGCTCAGTCCTCAGCCTCCCTCCAGAATTCTAGACCCTTCCCCTGCTTCCCTTTCTAGAATTAGTCTCCATTCTTTTTTTTTTTTTAATTTTATTTATTTATTCATGAGAGACAGAGAGGGAGGCAGAGACATAGGCAGAGGGAGAAGCAGGCTCCATGCAGGGAGCCTGATGCCAGACTGGATCCCAGGACTCCAAGATCACGGGCGGAAGGCAGGTGCTCAACCACTGAGCCACCCAGGCATCCCAGTCTCCATTCTTTATTTCCTTAACTCTCCTTCACCTATCAACAATCCCGGAAGGATAACTCCAATTCGCTGCAGGTGAAAACGTGCCACCTGGTCAGGTGAGTCTTCCTTTTGGGGCTCTGTCTCCTCCTCTTGCTCCCTTTGCTCAGGCCTCAGACTGGCCTGAAGGAGAGGAAAGGGACTGTTCTGGGAGTTGCTCATGTGGGTTTGAGCCCCGGCTCTGTCCATGGTGGGCCTGCTGCTGCAGGGCGGGCCTTCCTGGTCTGGGCCTGGGTATTCTAATCTGCCCAGTGGGTGTGGGGAAGGAATGAGACAGCAAGTGGGGGGACCACAGTTTGGGGTTCTTTCCCCCTCCCTGGGGAGCTCCAGACCCCCGGAGATGGTGGGGGAAGGGCTGCCTTGGGTGATAATGAGTTTCCAGCAGGTACTGGATCTCAGCATTCCCAGCAGAGTTTGACTTGAACCCTGAGCTCGCTGAGCAGATCAAGGAGCTGAAGGCTCTGCTAGACCAAGAAGGGAACCGGCGCCACAGCAGCCTCATTGACATCGAGAGCGTGTGCGTGGGGGCAAGCTTGAGAGCTGGGGAGGGCCCTTGGCATCCCACACCATCTGTGCTTAATAAATGTTTATTGAGTTGAATGTGTAAGGGTCATGTCACTGTCTTGCTTAAAAACCTCTGGCTCCCTGTCACCTTCACAATGTCTAGGCTGAGGATTAAGGCCTCTGATGGTCTCTGGCCAGTTTTCCTGTCTCATCTTCTATAGCCCCCTCCCATCCCAAGCACTTCATCCTGCAGCTACACCACTGGTCTGCTCACCTATCTCCAGTCTTGCATCCCTTCCCACCATGGTGCTCTGCTCAGCTCGGTCCCCTTACCTGCCTCTCTGTGTTGTAAAGACTCTGCTCAAGTGTCTGTGGGCTCACAGGTCTTCCAGGGCAGAATTTGTCATTCCCTCCTGTGTCCCACCCATGGCACTTGGTGCAGACGCCATCAAAAGACCTGTATCCGTGCCATGCTGTTTTGTGATTGTTTCTGTGTCTGTCTTCCCCAGTAGATTGTGAGCTCCTCAAGGGCAGGAAATGTGTCTTGCTCATCTCTCTACCCCCAGCACCTAGCACAGTGCTGAGTGCCTGACCAGGGGGAGATAGCGGGAGTTGCTGGGGGAGATAGTGGGAGTTGCTAGGGACGGGTGCATCGGTGTCTGGCACAGTACCTCAGACTGTGTGGGTCCTCAGTCAGCTTGCGTGGTGTGTCTGCGTGAGTGTGGGGGCCCTAAGGGATGGGGTATCTCCAGCAAAGGGCTCATTGCCCTTGCCTCACTTCCCAGCCCCACCTACAAGTGGAAGCGGCAGGTGACCCAGCGGAACCCCGTAGGACAGAAAAAACGAAAGATGTCCCTATTGTTCGACCACCTGGAGCCCTTGGAACTAGCAGAGCATCTCACCTACTTAGAGTATCGCTCCTTCTGCAAGATCCTGGTGCGGCCCAAGGGCCTTTGGTCCAGGGTGGAGTTTGGGCTGGGGGGGTATTGGTCCTAGGAGGAACAGGGTTAGGGTATGGGGTGGGTTGGGGGGTTTCAGGGTAACCAATGAAGGGCAGCTGGAGGGTGAGGAGTGGCCATCTGTGGGGGGAGGGGCCTGCAGGGGCTGAGGCCTCTCCTGCCCCCAGTTTCAGGACTATCACAGTTTTGTGACTCATGGCTGCACCGTGGACAACCCTGTCCTGGAGAGATTCATCTCCCTCTTCAACAGTGTCTCACAGTGGGTGCAGCTTATGATTCTCAGCAAGCCCACTGCCCCTCAGCGTGCCCTGGTCATCACGCACTTTGTCCACGTGGCAGAGGTGCTTTCCCCTCCCTCTTCCCCAAGCACCCTGGTGGGGGAGGGGGTTGTGGGGCAGTAGGGTGAGGCCCTCCTTTCCACTCACCCACTGCCTCCTCTCCGGAAAAGCCGGGCCAAATCCTGGGCCCGTTCAATGACTCACTGCCTTCCCCCTCCTCATTTGCACCCCCACAGAAGCTGCTTCACTTGCAGAACTTCAACACTCTGATGGCCGTGGTCGGAGGCCTGAGCCACAGCTCCATCTCCCGCCTCAAGGAGACTCACAGTCATGTTAGCTCTGAGACCATTAAGGTGCCTGGGATAGTGGGGCTCATGGTGTGGTGGTGGTCAGGGGAAGAACCTCATCAAGCCCTGGGCCCAGCTTCCCAGGTCCGGCCTCCCTGAGAACTCCTGGTAGTTTTGGGGGCTGTGCACTCCTGCCCCCATTTGACAGATATGGAAACTGAGGCTCAGAGGGGTTCAGTGCTTTTCACAGGTTACACAGAGTGGCAGAGTAGGGGCTCACAGGGCTGCCTGACCCCAAAGTTTGTGCTTTTCTCCTCCTTTTACTCATTTTTTTAAACATATTGGGTGATGTATGTATAGAGATGTATATAAAGCATATGTAGAGATTAAAGAAAAGTTATAAAGAAAACGCTTGTGTAACTACCACCCAGGTCTGAGAAATAGAACATTGCCAGCCCCCGAAGCTCCCAGCACCTTAGAGCATAACTCCCTCCCCATCAGAGGTAACCAATGCTATGACTTTCGTAATGATGACGGCCTTGCTCTTCTTTATAGCTTTACCACTTACGTATGAATCTCAAAGCAATATGGGATTTTTGTCGCCTGTTTTTGGATCTTCTATGAATGGAATTCTGTTGTATGTTATTTTATGTCTTGCTTCTTTCAGTTTTACGTTCTGTTACTTAGAGCAGTTGTTCATTCAGTTCTGTTGCCGTATAATATTTTATTCTAAGTCTACCGCAATGGATATAGCTACTCTACCATTGAACATCTGGAGGTCTTCCCAGTTTAGGCTGTTACAATCGACAGAGCTAGAAACATTCTTCTGGATCTTTGTTGTGTGCTGCTTGCCTTCCTGAGCCTCAGTTTCTTTTCCTGTTAAATGTTGATGATATTCCATGCCTCAGCCTGGTGTAGAGGTGTGGTCCTTGGCAGTGGGTGTTCCCTTGAGCTCATGACCCCTGAACTCTGACCCCTGGGGCTAAGGGAGACAGTACAGTGCTGGGGGACAGTGAGGGAAGATTTTCAACCTTTCACCCATCCCTGACTCTGACTCCTCATCCTCTCCTATGTTTCCAGGGCTGCGGGGGAAGGGCAGTTGAGCCAGTGATGTGTGTATATGTGTGTGACCCTCTGCCTTTTGCCTCCCCTCCCCAGCTCTGGGAAGGTCTGACAGAACTAGTGACGGCCACGAGCAACTATGGCAACTACCGGCGCCGGCTGGCAGCCTGTGTGGGTTTCCGCTTTCCTATCCTGGGTGTACACCTCAAGGACCTGGTGGCTCTGCAGCTGGCACTGCCTGACTGGCTGGACCCTGCCCGGACCCGACTTAATGGGGCCAAGATGAAGCAGCTCTTCAGCATCCTGGAGGAGCTGGCCATGGTGACCAGCCTTCGGCCACCAGTGCAGGCCAACCCTGATCTGCTGAGCCTACTCACGGTGAGGGGTTGGGAGCAGGGATGCTGGGGGGCCGGGCACCAGGGCGGACAACCATACCTGGTTTTAGATTTATGCAAGGCTGTGGATTTGGTCTTGAGTTCTAGGTTCTGATCAAGGAACTGAGATCCAGCCTGAGCTCCAGGGTTTGGAGTGGACTCCGAGATGAGTTCCAGGCTCCAAATGGGGCTATGGACTAAGGTCTGATTTTGAGGCTGGTATGTGGGCTTTTCGTGCTGAGCTTGAAGCTGGGCCTGGGTCCTGGGTTGAGTTCCTGGGAATGGGTTATATTGAAGGCTTAGGGTCCAGCTCTGGGTTCTGGATGCAGGGTGTTTTTTTTTTTTTTTTTCCTTTTTCTTTTTTTTTTATTTTTTATTTTATGCAGGGTGGTTTCTAAATATGGTCTTTTTTTTTTAAGATTTTATTTATTTATTCATGAGGATGCAGAGATATAGGCAGAGGGAGAAGCAGGCTTCCTGCAGGGAGCCTGATGTGAGACTCTACCCCAGGACCCCGGGATCACGATCTGAGCCAAAGGCAGATGCTCAACCACTGAGCCACCCAGGCATCCCTCTAAACATGGTCTTGAGCTCTTAGAAAAGGCCTGGGATTGGTCTTGGACTTGGTTTGGGGGTCTAGGATGAGAGTTAGGTTCTAGTCGATCTGGACTAGGTTCTAGACATAGAGCAGAGGCTTGAGTTTTGGGTCTAGTGTGGATTCTTAGTTGTTTCCAGGCTCTGGGCTGGGATCGGGATTGAAATCTGAGTGGGATTCTGGATGCTGGGTTGGGTTCTAGGTTGGGGCTTAATCTCAGAGCTCTTGGCTATGTTCTGACCTAGATTCTTGGCTGGATTCTTGGCAGTGCATTGTGCTCCAGGTTTGGGCCAAGGTGTGGGTGCTGGTTCTTGTGCTAGGCTGGCGTGTGGTTGCTGGCTCAATCTCTTGACACTGAGATCATGACTGGAGGTGAAATCCAGGCTGCACACTTAACTGATGGAGCCACTCAGGCGCCCTTCTAGGGTGTTTTCTAAGCTGGCCTTTGTCCTGAGTTTAGCATCTGGACTGGGTTCCAGGCTGAGTTGTGACCTCTAGGTGGACCTATGACCCTGGGCTCTGGACAGTGGGCTCCTGAGGACAGCAGGGGCAGTGGGTATGATCAGACCTGTGTGTCCCAGGTATCTCTGGATCAGTATCAGACAGAGGATGAACTCTACCAGCTGTCCCTGCAGCGGGAGCCACGCTCCAAGTCCTCGGTGAGATAAGGAATCCCTGCTTCCTAACTCTGCCTAATGTCTTCCTCCCCTACTTCTGCCCTTCCTGAAAATCCCAGAATGGGAGGGTAAGCAGAGCTCTCAGAGGCTACCTCACCTCTCTAGCTTGTTGGGCAGGCAGGCTCCCTTCTCCCCATGGCCTCCCCGCTCCTCTCCCCTGGACTCTGGCCTCCCTCCCTCTGACTCTCACTCAGTCCTGATCATCCCTGTAGCCAACCAGCCCCACAAGCTGCACCCCACCTCCCCGGCCCCCAGTGCTGGATGAGTGGACGTCAGCTGCCAAACCCAAGCTGGACCAGGCACTCCTGGTGGAACACATCGAGAAGATGGTGGAGGTAAGACTGTGGTAGCCAGCTTTGGCCCCTGAGCAGTTGGGAGACAGGTCGGTAGTGGTCAGTGAAGAGTGGTTTTGCCAGGCCACTACCCCCGGATTGATACCAGTGCCATGTTCAAGGGCCAGCGCTCCCTCCCAGAAGGCAAGGGGCATAGCCAGTGGGTGGGGTTGGGGGTAGGGGCATGAAAGAGGGAGATAAAGTGGGAGATGGAGAGCCACTCACGTCTGAGACACCCTTCCTGACATGGACTGAGAACGTGGGCAGGACAGGGCTGTGCCTGTTTTATTTTGCCTCGTGTGTCCCTCTGTGTGCTCCAGTCTGTGTTCCGGAACTTTGACGTCGATGGGGATGGCCACATCTCACAGGAAGAGTTCCAGATCATCCGTGGGAACTTCCCTTACCTCAGCGCCTTTGGGGACCTCGACCAGAACCAGTGAGGAGAGCTGGGGGCTGGGGGAGTGGGAAGGCAGGCTCACTTCCCCTCCATGTCAGCTTCCTCCTGTGCAAGATGAGGCCACTAAACCAGATGATCTCGGCAGAGGAAGCTACCAATGTGGGGAGGGGCTCTCATCTCAGGGGAGAGGCTGCCGGCTGTGGAGGCACAGGGTTACCCCACTTGTTCAGATGGGGGGGCTCCACCTGAAGCTTGCAAAGACTGGCCTGGGGACAGAAGTGCTGCTTTACTTGTGGAGCTCATAGCTGGCAAAAAGTGTGGGCAAGTTCAATTCCTGGGTAGCCTGTTTTAATGAATAGAAAAGAAAGGCCTGTAATTAGCAGCACCCACGTACTTATCAACAATTCACATATTGACAATTTGGACAAACAGCTGGTTCCCTGAAGTAGGTTGGACATGTCCCCCACAACCATGTTTCATATCCTTGTTTTGCTGAACTCTAGTCAAAATTTATAGTCCGACTCGGGTCAAGTTATATTTTAATGTTACTCATATTTCAAAAATCTGTTTGTTTTTTTTCATATTGCAAAACTCCGTGGTGAAAAAGAAATCCAGGTAGTAAAATAGATTTATAGTGAACAAAGCCCATGAAGTAAGAAGTGAAAGTTCCCTTTTTCCTCTCCGATCTTTCCTATCAGGAGAGGTTATATTATCTTTAGCAACATGTTAGCAGTGTTACTGGCTTGGCAACACTGTATCCTTCCAGTCTTTTTTTTTTTTTTTTTTTTTTTCCTCCAAGCATGTACAAGTTGATTTTGTTTGTCTGGGTCTGTTCCATGGACAGACAGGAGTATCCTATACATCTGGCTCTGCCCATGGTGCTGGTTGTAGTTGCTTTGTTTCTGCTTCTAAGAACTGAGACCGAGTTCTAGGTTAGGTCCCTGGGTTGGTGGGTGGATTTTTTTCCCAGGTCCCATTTTCAGTAAGGGGTCAGCCCTTGGAGACCTTGGATATAGCTTCACGCAGGGGTTTCAGCCTTAACTCTCCACCTTCTGCATGCCCCAAGCCTCATGCCCAGCTCATCTGGGTATCAAAACCCAGCACCTGGCTCACTGTGGGGTGGGGGGACCAGCACCCCCCCTCCAAGGGCAGCCGCAGATTCTGCTCCTCACTCCCTGTCTCAGCTTGAAGCTTGCTCTTTGTTTCTGTAACCCGGGGATTACCATTTCTTTCTCGAAAACTCACCTGTGCATTTAAAGCAAATCTGGATGTATTTTAACTAGGATCTATGTATTTGTAGCAGTAGGGTTTTCAGGTTTTTGTGTCATTGTTGTTTTTTAATCACTGTCTCGGTAGAACTGCACATCTGTTTTTTGCTTTTGTTTTTGTTTCCCACTTAACCCTTTACCATGGACAGCTTTCCATGCTGCTTCATGCAGAACGACCTCATTCTTTAGAATGGTTGCAGTGGATCCCACTATGTAGCTGGGCCTTCATTTGCCTCACTATTCTCCTGCTGATGGACATGTAGACTGTTCCCAGTTTTTCTCTATTAATATACGCCATGCTGCTGTGAACATCTTTGTACCAATGCACTCAGGCCACTATTTCTGTAGGAGAAATTCCTAGAAGTGGGATAATTGGATCAAAAGATATGCACATTCTAAATTAGGAGAGAGACTGCCAAAGTGACCTCAGGCAAGGTTGTGCTGGCTTGCACCCCCATCAGCAGTGAACAAGTGCCCATTTCCCAACTTCCTTGCCAACAGTGGACGGTATAATAAGCTTTACAATTTTGTCAGTCTAATTGGCAAATGGTGTCTTGGTTAAATTTGAATCTCTTCAATACTAGTGGGGGTAGGATATCTTTTCATATGTTTATTGGCCTCTTATATTTCTTCTGTGGACTGCCTGTTCATATTCTTTGTCCATTATTCCACTGGATTTGTTGGTCTTTTTCTCATCGAATTTCAGAATCTCTGTTAATGGATATTAACCCTTTGCTGTTGAACGTGTTCGCAAATATTTTCTCCCAGTCTGTCATTTATGTTGTCTTTTGCCACATAAAATTTTTTAAAAATGTCGTGTGCTCAGTATGTCAGTCTTTTCCTTTATGGCTTCTCCAGTGTGTGTTATGTGTAGAAAGACCCTCATCTCCTGGAAATTACAAAGATATTCTCTTACACCTTTTCAGATACTTTGATAATTTTATCTTTTTTACATTAGCGTTCTCAGTTCAGTGAGGAATCTAGGGTGATATTTTTTTGTAAATGGCCAGTGGGCCCCCAATGCCCTATTGAACTGAAGGATCACCTGGATCACGTCATGGACCCCCACATATAATGGGCAGGAACTTCCAACAATGACCAGCCCTGACAGAAATAGTTCCTGGTGGCCCAGGACCTGTTAATGACACAGACACTATTGTAAATGCTTCATATCCACTGCCTCACTTAATCCTTGCAAAAACTCCCTGAGGCACAGGGATTATCACAATCTGCATTTGTAGAAGAAGAAACTGAGGCACAGGGACATTAACTACCCCAAAGGTCACACAGGAAGTAGCAGACCAGAACTTGAACTGTGGTCTGTATCCAGAGCATGTGGTCACTCTTTCCCTAAAATGTGTTGATGGGTGAGAAAAGGGTTCTGTGGGAAGCCCTGGATTATGTGGGGAACCCTGAGCGCAGGTGTCTTTCTGGCATTCACTCACATGACAGTGAGACCCAGGCGGCTTTTTCGAATCTTGCCTGGTCCTGGAGCTCATCAGAAGTCTCTTAATTCTCAGGGCTCCCAACTGGTGTTCCAAAGAGCTCACTTTGGAAAACAAAATGGGAAAGTGCACAGCCCTTTTAGTTAGTATCCACGCCAAGTGTGTAAAGTGGGCAGGACAGGAATTCTGATCGCCATTTTTGTGGTGAGGAAAGCCAGGGAGAGTGACTTACCCAAGACCTCACAAGTAGTCAGTATCGGCCCCCACTCACCCCCTCCAAGCATCTGCCTTGGGCTGCCTTGGGCTAGCGTTCTCTCTCCTGCACCAGGAGTTCAAAATCAGGAGTGGGGTGAGGATCTTTTATTTGGTAGGGAGGTTCCCAGTGGGATGGATTAGGCCGGTGGATTAGGTGGGTGGTCCCCGGGGGAGGGGGCCCCCCCTGAGGCGCTCCCCCTCCCCCGACAGGGATGGCTGCATCAGCAGGGAGGAGATGGTCTCTTACTTCCTGCGCTCCAGCTCGGTGCTGGGCGGCCGCATGGGCTTCGTGCACAACTTCCACGAGAGCAGCTCCCTGCGCCCGGTCGCCTGCCGCCACTGCAAGGCCCTGGTGAGCCCCCGCCCCAGCCACGCCCCTCCGGCCCCGGCCCCCGGCCCCGCCCCCGCCGAGCCTGCTTAGCTGTGGCCGACCTCCCTAATTCCGCCTGCGTCTCCTCTCGGGGTGCTGCGCCTACCTAGCCAGCTCCGGGGGGGCCCGAAAGCACCAGGGTCAGTCCCAGCCCCTGCCCTTGAGAAGGAAGACGTAGTCATTAGCCCTAAAGACCTCTTCCCCAGCACGGCCCTCTCCTCTATTTCAGATCCTGGGCATCTACAAGCAGGGCCTCAAATGCCGAGGTGAGCAGGGCTGGTGGGCTGAATTTGGGGGGAAGAGTTACTCTCTGGGTAGGGACCCTTTTTTGTGTGTGTGTGGGGGGGCAATTGCGGAACAGCGAAGTACCTTGCAGCCAGAGAGGCACGATGATTATATTGAAGTGGGGGGGTAGCCTTCAGGTGGCCTTTTATTTTGGTGAGCCAGCGGCCCAGGAACAGAGAACTCTGGAGAGGGCTTGGCCCTGCGGGCAGGATGAAGAGAGCACTGTGGAAAGAGATTCTTATTTTGGTGGTGGTGGTGGGGGGGGGTGGCTGCTCAGGAGCAGAAGATACTGGGGAGAGGGGCCTGCTAGAGAACCAGGTGGAGGGTGTTCTGACCAACGCCTGGCCGGCCTCCCCATCTGCCTCCCCCAGCCTGCGGTGTGAACTGCCACAAACAGTGTAAAGACCGTCTGTCGGTTGAATGCCGGCGCCGGGCACAGAGTGTGAGTCTGGAGGGGTCTGCACCCTCACCCTCACCCACCCATCACCGGGCCTTCAGCTTCTCCCTGCCCCGCCCAGGTAGGCGAGGCTCCCGGCCTCCAGGTAAGAGGGGATCTCATTGTGTATTGGCCTGTGAGGGGAGGGAGGCAGGGCCATCCTGGCAAAGTATTAACTTATCCAGGAGGGAAACCATTCCAGAGTTTGTAATTCTATTATTTTGGTGGGGGCGGTACAAAAAGGTTGAACAGGTAAGGGGGCCAGAGGGTGGCTTAGGAACCCTTGTTCTTCTGAAGCTGAGAGAGGCTAATACAGAAAGAAGAGTAAAAATGAAAGGCTTCAAGAGTCTAATCATAGGAGCACCTGGCTGGCTCAGTCAATAGAGCCCGTGACTCTTGATCTCAGCATAACAAGTTCAAGCCCGATGCTGGGCATAAAGCTTACTTAAAAAAAAAAAAAAAGAAAAGAAAAAAAAAAGAAAAAAGATTCCAGTCACACTCTTACTTTGTGAAGGGGATTGACATTAGATTGAAGAGGGAATCATGTCAGCCATTTGCTTGCATTTCCCTTTTTGGCTGCTCTGGACACCATTCTGAGAAAAGTCCCTTGCCCTGAAGATCTTTGGTGGGTCTCTTGGGGTCTCTGGTGGTTTTAGGTCAGTTTGCTGAATGATAATTCCCCCAATGATTATTTTGCTGAGAACAGTCTGAGGAACCACATTAAACTGGGGTCTAAGGCAGTTGACCACAACTGTTTGGATTGGCATAAGTCCTCAAAAATAGAAAAGATGAAACCATTTGCATTGAGCCTTCCAGAAGTGCTGGGGTCTAAGACATGAAACACACAAAACTGACATTTTAAGCAAACTGCACTGACAAATCGATGGTGGTGAAAAAAGTTGTAGCAGAATGAAAACTTGGAAAAAGAGCCTCAAAAATGGGGCCAGTTGGTCATTCAGTGAATTGATTTTTGGTGGATGGGTCTGCTTAGGGATGGGGTGGGGTGCCTCCTGTGAGTGGGGGAAGGGCTGCTGAAGGCACAGGGACCCTGGAGTGACCTCCACCCCCACCTGCTTCCCTGCAGAGATCCGAGAAGAGGAGGTGCAAGCAGTGGAGGACGGTGTATTCGACATCCACTTGTAATGGATGGTGAGTCCTCCCTCCACAGCCTGTGCCACTTTGGGCTTGGGGTATGGGGGAGGAGGCAGTGGGAGGATCAGGGAAACAGGCCCTCTGTCCAAATGGCCCAGGCCAGGTGGACTCCTACTTTTTGGGGGAGGATCTTCCTTACAATCTTTGGTTGTTGTTGTTTTTTCCTTCTCAGTTGTGACTGGATCAAGCACTCCTATCTGCCTTGGAGAAAAGACTTGGACCAGAGCAGGAAGCCTGGGGTGCTGGGGCAGCAGGCTGGGGCCGGGGGGTGGGGTGTGAGGGTGGCATGTAGCTGGAGGTTGGGCCAGGGCTGGCGTCCCTAAGGTTGTACAGACTCTTGTGAATATTTGTATTTTCCAGATGGAATAAAAAGGCCCGTGTAATTAACCTAGACTGGCAGATCCTAGAATCTTCATGGGGGGGAGGCAGGGTGGGGGCGGGGAACTGCAATCATAGGGACTAGAGTGTTGGAGTCTAGAACTTTGTAGTCAGAGAATCTTGGGAGATCTGGAATCTCATGTATTGGGACTAGAATTGGGGGGTAGAACTTTAGAAGCAAAAAACCTTGGAACATAACAATTTGGGGAACTGGTGGTCGTGTATAACCACAGCATTCAGCCTATAGCTGAAATTCCTTTACTTGACAGGTGACCTCTCAGCCCCTGCTTGAATACTTCCAGCAATGGGGACCTCACTGCAGAGAACCATGGGGGAGAGAGGGCAGCCCAGAGTGTCTGCGGGTAGGGGAGAGATGGGGGCGGGGCCTCAGGCAGCCCAGGCCCCAGGAGCCCCTGCTGGGCTTGCAGGCCTTAGGGTGGGGGCTGCACTCCTTAGGCTTGCAGCCTCCTGGCCTAGTGCTGCTGCCAGCCGGAAGGACGGTGACTTCCAGAGGAAATGCATATTGATCCTGCTCTCAGCCTCCTGTGGCTTCTCCCAACCCAGCTCTTCCCTCCTGAGTTTGCAGCACAGAGGTTTTGGGGGTCACCGCTACCTGAAGAAGTCTAAGACTACCTCCAAGGCTGGTGTGGGTGGAGAGGGTGGACTGAAGGTTTTCTAAGGATTCTGAAGCCAGGCCAGGCTCCAGCAGCAGCCCCCCCCCAAGAGTGGGAGCTACCTCTTCAACCCCCCTAACCTGTCCTACAGCAGCTGTGGGTTATCTTGGGCGTGGAGGTTTGAGCACCCCAATTCCTACCTGCAAAGCAATGGCCTCAGACTCTCCCTTGGGGTTCCCTGACCCCATGTCCACCTCTCCCCTTGAAACCCCACTCCTTCTGGGCCACTCCTCACTGAGGTCGCCTCCTCCCCCCTCTTGCAACTTCTCCACTGCAGCACCACCCTCCGTTAGGCCCCCAGCCCTGTCCCCCAGCAGGTCCCTCACACTACCCTTCCTCGAGTCCACAGCCCCCTCCTGCCCTTCCCCCTCTGAAGGCTGTAATATCCGTTTCACGATTTGGGGGCTGAGTTGCTATAACAACAGACGGTGATTGTGTTGTGAAGAGCAGCTCCCTCCCAGTGCCACTGCCTCCCGCGCTGCCTCCATCCCTGCAGCCTGGTCGGCTCCCCTCCCTGCAGCCCTCAGCCCCAGCCTGGCCTCTTCCCAGTGTACATGTGTGTATGGATATGTGTGCCCAGGTCTGCCCTGCCCAGGGAGTGTAACGTGACTGTCATCTTATGGTTGCATGTATGAATCTGGTGTATGAGCTTTTACATCGTGTGTGTGCACAGACACACACGCTGAATTTGCTGCATTTTCCTTTCACCTGTGTCCCCGCTGGACTGTGCCTGGGGGAAGGGCCACATTGGGTGGATACCTTTTGGGGAGATGTCTTGAGGTGGTGGGTCCCGATCATGGTGGGTACTCTGAACCTTGGACCTTAAGGGGGGAGACATCCCTGTGGCTGGGGGGAAGGGCAGAAAGTGCAGCAGCTGCCAGGTGACCTTTCCTGCCCTTGATGAGCAAAGGTGGCCCAGGGAGCTGAGGGTGGGGACAGAAGACAGATGCTCATTCTTACATCGGTCCCTGTCCCTGCCCTCTTCCTATCCTGTTTTCTACCCATCTACAAGGGTCTGACAGAGTCTCTGAGTCACTGCACCTGTCTGCTTGCCTATCTGTGCCCTGGTACGTGGCTGGACCAGTCTGTGTGTGTGCCTGTGCGTGTGTGTGCATGTAGGCTGTAGGGAGAGGAGGAGTGGGGGGATGGGTGGGGCATGGGCTGTGGGGTCAGAGAGGTCATTTCACATCTCCAGGCCCTGACTCAGCAGTTCCCATTCTCTGGTTCCTCTAGTGGCCTTGGTGGGGCCAGCCTGAGGGTCTTTCCAAGGTCAGAGTGGGTCTCAAGTCTGGGACCTGCCTCAGGAGTCAGTCCCAGACCCCTAGGAGATGTCCTCACAGTCTGGGTCCCCTCTTCCCCCATATAGTCAGAGAGGAACACCACTGATGGGTGGGTATGTGTGCCCCTCTACTAGGTAACAGGCCACTGTGTAAGGTGCTTCATGGGGGCAGAATGACCCTGTGCGCAAGTCCTCCATACACACCTATGCCCTGGGCATGCATCTACCTCTGAGAGCCTAGGCACCTGTGTGCTCAAGTTTGTATGTGTCTCTGTGTTCTTGGACAAGCATGTGCTTCCTGTGGGTGTCTTGCCCCGGTGGGGCATTTCTGCAACTGTCCCTGGGTATCTCTTTGGGAATGCCTGTGTGCACATGCATAGGTGTGCATGACTCTGAGTGTGCCACTGTGTGCCCATGTGTGCAGCAGTGGAATGTGAGTGTTCTTGCATGTTGCTTCTGGCTAGAGAAGCATCACTTACTACCGGCTATGCAAATCATAGACCCTGCCACAGATGTCACGGTTCTGGGGTAAGGTGGCAGAATGGTCTGGCACGCGCGCACGCGCACACACACACACTCACACACACTCTTGTTCCAAAGCCCAGTGTCCACCTTTGTGGTACACACACTAGGTGCCAGGTCCACCTTTGATTGGCCGAGTGAGTGAAGGGCTGTCCCCTTCCTCCCACACTCATACCTGCACACAGCTCTACAGACTCCCTCATGGGGAAGGCCTCAACCCAGCGCACACTCATCTGAGACTCCTGGTTGAGGGGAGAACAGAGGACTGAACTGCTGCCAGCATTCCTTCAGTGATCCAGGCAAAGTGCAGCCTTACCAATGCCCCCAAACCACCTCCTACCCCAGTCCAGAGTTCTGGGCAGGACTGGGAACCAGGGTTCAAATTCGGATTACCATCAGGCAGGGTTGAGAAACCCCAAGCCCTCAGGTCTACCCCGCCATCATCGCTGTCTTTCTGTCCCCCACGGCCTCCTTCCTTAACCCAGGAGAGACCCTCACGCCTCAGCTCTAGGGGAAGCCGGGGACGCCCTCGGGCGGTGGGAGGCAGATGCCAGGCTAAGGGCTGGAAAAAGCCCCCAGAGGCCTCCGGCAGGTCCTCCTTCCCTAGGCTCCAGGCAGCCCGGGCCCGTCCCTGGGCGTAGCCAGTAGAGGGCGCTGCGGCCCGGGCCCCCTCACCGATCCTGCTCCGTCGGGGGCCCCCAGTCGGCGCCCACAGCTTCTCCCCGGGCGCTGCTACACTGGCCGGCGGGCCGAGGGATGCGGGTCCCGAGGGCGCGACCCAGAAGGGGAGAGGCCAGGGCGCCTGGGTTCCCGGAAAAGACATTGGGACTGGGGTGGGGGTCGGCCCGTTTGGGAGCCTGAGCGCCTGGGCTGAGGACCGCGAGAGGCGGGGAAGAGCTCGGATGCCCTGGGGCCGGGACGCCTGGGTCCCCGGCAGGGGAGGGAGGTGGGCCCGTGGAGCAGCGGGACTGGCGGCTTCTGCGCCTTCGCATTGGCTTCGCCGCTCGTCCGTTAGCACCGCGTGGCCCAATGCGCGCGTCTGGGGGGCGGGCACTGGTGCTGATGCTGCCGTCAGTCGGTGTTGCAGGGATGCGGCGGCGGGAGCAGCCGCCCTGACTCGCAGAGCATCCTCCTCCGAGCGGCACCGCGGCGGGGCGGGCGGACGAGCCGGCGGGCGGGGACGGCGGGGAGCGAGAGAGGCGCGAGGCGGCCGACACCGCTGGCCCCGGCTCTACCACCCGCTGGAGACGGGGAGGCCCTGGGGCTCCGATCCCCACCCTCCAGCTCCTGGCACCCCTAGAACCAGGTACGGGGGGGGGGGCTGCGGCGGAGACGGGCGGGGGGCGGGAGCGGATCGGGGGAGGGGAGAGTTCGGAGGGGCGGGGGAGGCAGGAAGGATGGATTGGGGGGCGGGGGCGCTGCCGCGCTGAGAGGGTTGGCTGGGTGACAGCGAGGAGGCTAAGTGGCTGAGGAGGGGGTTGGGGGTAGGAGGCTCCCTGTGGAAGGGGCACTGGCTCTGAGCTGGGGTGAATGGAGAGAGGTGGGAGGGAGGGTCGTTGGGGGAAGGGATGGGGCGAGAAGGAGGGGCATCCGGAAGGCTGGGAGGGAGGCTCTGAAGGGGGGTCCCCAGTCTGTGCTAGCCCCAAGGGCTGGAAGCAGTGCTCGTCCAGAGGGGCTGGGAAGCTGTTGTGCTCTGAAGGGTCTGCAGGGGAGAAGCCAGCGAAGAATTGGGCTTAGTGGGAGAAGGGGAGGGCGCTGGAGAGGGGAAAGAGAGAAGTGGAGAGGCAAGGCAGGAGCAGGGGCCAGGCCAAGGGCTTCATACTGGGGGCACCATTGAGGACCAGGCTTTACTGGGGGATGGGAGCCAAGGGGAGAGGAGGTGATTGGGAGGGAGCAGAGGTGAAGGTGCCAAGGTGCTGGAGGCAGAGATGGGTCTGTGCCGGTGGAGAGCCAGGAAACATGGGGGGCCTGAGGGAGAGGAGCGGAAGCTTGCGGGGGAAGGTTGGGGGCGATGGAGAGGGAGACTGGGAAATCAGCAGGAGGGGGCTGTGCTGGGGTGGGAACGCGCTGGGGGCGGGCGACAGGGTGATGGTCAGAGAGTGCTGCAGGGAGAGGCAGCTGCAGGGCCCTGGGCTTGCTCCCCCACCCCCAAAGAGGAGGGGACCATTTCTCAGGTCCCAGCCTCTCCCCCAGCTGAAGGAGCCATCTGCCCTGGGTTTTTTGGGCTGGGTATGAGCTCCTGGACCCCTGATGGCCCTTTGGAGGCAACATTGGCTTTTCCGGGGGCTGCTGCCTTCTTTACTTGCAACCCCCACTGGAGTCCTGGGCAAAGGCATCTGGTGCCTCATGGAACAAGCAAGGACTGGGAGGGGATTGTTTCTTGGTGCTTGGAGGTGAACAGGATAGTCGTCC